CAGATTTTTCTCCTTCTGGCATCCCTATGATATATAGTTGTTATCTTTCACGTTGTCCCAAAGCTCTCAAACTCTCCTTTTGCTTTTTAATTATTTTTTTACCAATTGCTGCTCTGAATGGGTGCTTTTTCCTACGTTGTCTTTGAATCTGCTTCTTCTAGTCTACTGTGGATTCCTTCCAGGATATTTTTTATTTCAGCTCTGTCATTTTTCATTTCCACATGATTCTTTTTTTTTTTTTTAATATATATTTATTGATTTCAGAGAGAGGAAAGGAGAGAAAGAGAGATAGAAACATCAATGATGAGTGATTGATCAAGCCCACAACAGGGCATGTGCCCTGGCCAGGAATCAAACCCTGATCGCCTGGATTTTGGTTGACGCTCAACCGCTGAGCCACGCCTGGCCAGGCTCCACTTGCTTTTTATTCATGGTTCTTATCTCTGTTTTTATGTGGGTGTAGTTCTCATTAAGTTCCACAAATTTCTCATTAAGTTGCTTATAGTTTTCACTAAGCTATTTGAACACCCTTATAACCATTACTTTGAATTCTTTATCTGACAAATTGCCTCCATTTCATTTAGTTCCTTTTCTTTCATTTGGGGGTTGTTTCTTTGTCTCCTTATTTTTGCTGTCTTTTTGTATTTGTTTCTGTGTATTAGATCAAACTGCTATGTCTCCCAGCCTTCGTGGGGTGATTTTATGTAGTAGGTGTTTTGTGGGACCCAGTGGTGCAGTCTGGTCTCTTAGATCTCCTGACCTGGGTGCTCTAGGAATGCCCCTTATGTAAGTTATTTGGGTCCTCCTGTTGTAATTGGGTCTTGAATGTTGTTGTCCTGTTCGTCGGTGGAATTTCCACTCAGGCTGGCTGACCATGGGGCTCACCCCTGACCATGTTGTTTGAGCTGTTGTGGTGGTGCTGACAGAACAGAACAAAATTCAATGAAACAAAATAAGAAATGAAGGAAACAAAACAAAAACATATATAAGACCTCAACAACAACAACAGCAACCACAAAAGAATAGAGAATTAGGAAAGAGAAAAGAGAGCAAGACTGATAAGAGTAAAGAAAGAAGGAAAAAATATGAGGAGAAAAATGGGGAAGAAAAAGGAATATGAAGGGGCAGAGATGAAACAAAGAAAATAAGAATTAAGAATAGGGGAAGGAAACCGGTATAAAAGAAAAGAGGTAGAAAAAAATTTGAAGAGGAAAATAGAGGAGAAGACAGATAGACCTAAAATAAGAAATGGACAAAAGACGAGAAAGCAGGAGAAAAGGGAAAAAAATGGAGTAGAAAAGGGAAGAGAAAAATTAGATATATGAAAGAAATGATAGACACTTAAATAATAACAAGTCAATAAAGCAGATAATAAATAAATGAAAAAAGAAAAAAAGCAAACAAACAAAAAAGTGAAGTAGTGTTCATATCAGTAGAGTTTAGTGCCTCCTGGGAGTTCTCTTTGGATCCTGCTCTTCTTTTTCTTAATTAAAAAATTTTTTTTTAATCCTCACCAGAGGATATTTTTACATTGCTTTTCAGAGAGAGTAGGGGGGGGAGAGAGAGAAATATTGATGTGAGAGAGACACATAGATTGGTTGCCTCTGTCATACAGGATCCAGCCTGCAACCAAGGTATGTGTCCTTGACCAGCATGGAGCCCAAGACCCTTCAGGTTGCAGGCTGACCCTCTAACCACTGAACCAAACTGGCTAGGGCTGGATCCTGCTTTTCTGATGGCTACCTGACTGTTCTGTCTGCCATTTCTGGGCTTCCCTTAAGGTACTTAGGTGCTAGCCACTGTCAGAAACTGTCCTCCTTTGGCTTTCAGCAGCCTGTTAAAGCTCCAAGGGATCCACAGTTTGTGTGTCACCAGGGGACTTGGCTGTGTGCAGGTGGGGCCAAGCTGCACTCTAAGGCCTGTTTGTTAGCAGCACAGAGCGCAGGGCTGGGTCAGCAACCTTCTCCAGGTTCCCGGGGATCCACCTCTGCCAGCCTTCACTTGCCAGCCGGCAATCTTAATCACTCAAAAGTCTATTTCTGAAAGAGCTTTAGGCAGAATTGGAGTATAGACCTCTGAGTCTCCCATGAGGGGGTGGTGCTATTCAGATTTCAGGAAAAGTGGTGGGTGTGTTTCCCCATCCCAGAGCTACTCCTCTAAGAGTGTCCCAGAATATTACTCTGCCCTTGGCTGGGTGGAGATCCTCATATGCAGTCCAGTGGAATCAGCTGGATACTGGGAGTTTCTTTCACCTCTCCCATGTGGGGGAAGCACCAGACAGGTTCCCAGGATAGAGGGGTGGACGGCCCCACCCCCTACCCACTCCTGAGACTGTACAAAACAGTAGGTGTGGACTCTGCTGCTGTCTCTTCTGCAAAGGTTGCAATGCAGGCTGTGGCAGTCAGGGCTCCTGAGGGTGTGGTGAGCTGTCTCACCTAGGGCAGGAGGGCTTTTGGGAGGGGCTAGCACCTTTCAGGAAAAATGACCCTTTTGGTTTGGGGGATACTACCAAATGCAGGACTCCCAGCTGCTGCTTTTCCAGGTCTCCCTGCAATGCTTCCCACTGGTCTCCCCTTAGGCACCTCGAGTCTGCACCACCCATCCCTCTTCCAAATCCTGGGGTGGATAACTGCAGACAAAACCGTGCTCTGGGTTTTAAAAATAAAAACAAAAACAAAAATACTACAGCTTTAATTCCTACTGGCTCCAGACTGCCCGGCAGCCAGCAGCCCTGCCGCCTTTCATGGCTGGATGTTATGTGGGCTACTTGGTCTTGGCTCTGGTGCTCTGGTCTGTGGAGCCTGGCCTGGGTTCCAGGCCTTAATCTTCTCAGGGAAATAACTGTCCTGTAACCGAGAGATCCCTTCTCACTCTCTGCCTGCCATCCGTGGAAGCTGGGTCAGCCCCTCTCTGGACCTCGCTCTTCCTACCAGTTCCCAGGTGTTTTCTGTCTTCCCTTGGGATAAGTTTCCTCCTCAAGTGGACCCCAGTTTGTTATTCCCGGTGAATGTTCTCCAATTTAGTTTTACTTCCAGTCTGGCCATGGTTACCAACAGATCTCTGTCTAATTTTGGTTTCAGGAGGCCCTGCTGCTGCTGCTCTCCAGTATGGTAGCCACTCGTGACCTGTAGCTATTGAGCCCATGAAAATGTGACCAGTCCAAATTGAGTGGTACTCTCTTTGTGCTACATAAGTGATCCCACAAAAGTCACACAATCCTTTATGTTAACCTTCTTAATGCAACCTGCTGTATGGTTTTTTAGTACTGACTTCTGACTTCTCTCCAAACTGCCAGGACAGTTTGAGAAATTTAATCTGATAAAAGGTCTCTCAGTACCACATGGTAATGAGCAAGAGATGAACCATAAAGGCAAGTCAGACGACATGGTTTTTTACTTCCTTGACTGAATCATCTCCATTACCAGTATAATTTTGGCTCTTTCTCTGCTTCTATTAGCAAAAGAGATTTACTTAATTTTTGTTATTGAAATGCAAATTAAAGACAAGATTTTTTTCAATTGTTTGTTTGGTTTCTCCTTTCTAGAAAGAGTGAACTCCATTAAGTGAACTCGAAAAAAACTTTTTATTTTCTTCAACTTTCATTATTTTACTCAATCTTAGGAGACATGAGTGATTTACCAGATTGGTACACTGGGAAAAAACACAAAGGAATATTTTTGGCTTGGCTCCCGCTTTTACTTGATGGAATGGGTGTTCTTTAGCACTCTTCTTAACATCTTCAGGAGAGTGTTCAGACTTAGGGACACTACCCTAACTCAGTGTGGTCTTTGTAGTTCTGAGATTAATGTTAGGAATTTAAACCTGAGAGTAAACTTAAGTAATTTTCAATCCTAAACTTTTGTTTTTTTTGCCTTTGAAATGCAAATAATAAAATGGTAGTTATGTTTCCCAAAATTTAGATCTTTAACTTATCTAGAATTTGCCTTCTCCGACCAATATTAGGACTGAAATTTGTTTTTTTTCTGTTTGCTTGTTTAAAGAGCTATAACATAAATTCCTCCAGTGAAAAGTCATTTCTTGGCCTTGGGCTTTTTCTTTTGGAACTTTGCACATGTAGATTATTTTGATCTTTATTAAGGAAGAAATGTTGTATACAGGTTGAATATTATCACAAAAGTTGCATACTTTCAGACACCTTGACTCAGATTGAAATTTTCTCAGTTACTTTGGTTTAAGTGCCTCCTAGGCAAAAATCAGGTTGACTATCCTCAGCAGGCTCTTATTTATTTATTTATTTATTTATTTATTTATTTATTTATTTATTTATTTTTTACATATATCTTTTTTTAAAAAAAAATTTCAAATATTACAGATGCCCCCTTTTCTCCCCAGTGACCCCTTCCACCTCTTCCACTCCCCTCCTCAGTCCCTCACATACCATTGTCTGTGTCCTTGGGTTAGTTTTTCATTTTCTTTTTCCTCCATGCAGTTTACCTCCTACAATCTTCATTTCCACACCACCATCTCAACCTTTCACCCTCAATTCATAACAGTATGGTCATTGTGTTAGTTTAGTTAACTGGACAGTAATGGGGGAAAAGAGCAAGGGCAATCAGAATTATTAAGCATAATCAATTAGGAAGCATAAGCCTGCTCTATGAGTACATTGCAGCATTCATAGGCACCCCAAGGGATTACAGCACTGCCCCACAAAAGGGATGAACAACTCTCTCCCCACCAAGAAACATGAATACTATATTTAACATGTTATGCAATTTCTTTTCAAATAATATTAGAAAAGCTAATGAGAGATGAAGAAAATTTTGTTCACTGGAAACAAATTCTCATGTTCTTTTAATGATAAAAACAATTTTGAATAAGATTAAAGAGAGAAAGAAATTATTTGTTCCAAGTAGGTTCACAAATCAATATTTGAAGGATTATGAAAAGGTTAACCTGACTGAACTAGTTAGAACTTTCAGAAAAATATTAATAATTGAGTCTTTCATTTTCATTTCATTTTTCAAAATCAGTGTCTCTTACTTGTGTAAGGTAAATGCAATTTTTTTGATTGTGTCATTGAAAGCTTGTTTCACTTGTTTGTTCCTCAAGGTATAAATGAAGGGGTTCAACAAAGGGGCAACAGATGTAGTGAGCAAAGATATCCCTTTATTGATGCCCACCTCTTCTTTGGCTGAAGGCTTGATGTAGATAAAAATACAGCTGCCATAGGTGATGGAAACAACAATCATATGAGAAGAACAGGTGGAGAAAGCTTTTTTTCTTTGCTGAGCAGAAGGGAATCTTAGAATTGCCCTGATGATATATATGTATGAAAGAACGACACCTATAAGGGTAATGATGAATGTTAATACTGCACAGATTATAACCATTTGTTCTATGAACCATGTATCTGAGCATGAAATCTTAAAAAGAGGCGATGCATCACAGCCAAAATGATCAATGGCATTGGAGTCACAGAATTCCAGCTGGAGGCCCATACCAAGCGGTGTGATGATGATCATTAACCCAGAGATCCAGCAGCAGAGGACAAGGATGGTACAGACCCTGTTGTTCATGATGGTCATGTAATGCAGGGGCTTGCAGATGGCCACATAGCGGTCATAGGACATGGCTGCCAGGAGAAAAAATTCCGTAGCACCAAAGAGTCCAATAAAAAATATCTGACTGGCACAAGCATTATAAGTAATAGTATTGTCCCCAGTTGATAAACTGTACAGGAATCTGGGAATACAGACTGTTGTGAATGAGATTTCTAAGATGGAGAAATTTCGAAGAAAAAAATACATAGGTGTTTTAAGATGAGAATCCATGAGTGTAAGAACGATAATGGTCAGATTTCCAGTCATGCTCAGCATGTAGGTGAGAAATAAGAAGATAAAAATCAGAACTTGCTGTTGCGGGTCCTCTGTAAGTCCCAACAGAATAAATTTTGTTATTGCTGTGTGATTTCTCATTATTACCTTTGGCGTTATAGGTAATCTACATGTAAAAAAGTCAAAAGTTGAAGAAGCATCTAGACAGAAGGAAATAATAAGGCAAAAATCAATGAAATCAATGAAATAGAAAACAGAAAAATAAGAAAGAAGATTAACAAAATCAAAAGATGAATTTTAGAGAGGATGATTAACATTGACAAAACTGTTGTGAAACTGATGTGGAAAAAAAGATAAAATTTATCAGGAATTAGAAATATGATACAATTATAGGTTATACGGATATTAAAATGATATAGAATATTTTGAAAAGTTCTGTAAAGTAGATTTGACAGCTTAAATAAAATGAACCAATTATTTAAAAGATTCAATCTGCCAAAGCCAATTCAAGATAAAATATCTAACCTACATATCCTTATATCTGTTAAAGAAATATATACTGAAATCATCTTAAAAAGATAACTCCAGATGCAGATGTCTATATTGTACTACTTAGAGTTCTACCAAATTTTTTACCAAACATTCAAAAATAAACAAAAATACCAATTCTACACAAACCCTTTCATAAAATAGATTGTTGAAATAAAAAAATATAACGTTATCTAATGGAGTTTCCAATGTATATAGAAATAATATAAAAAATAAATACAGTAGAAAGGGGAAGAGTAAATGGTGTTATAGAGTAATAAATATGCTATATTCTACCTCCAGTGGTTCCAATGGTTAAATATTGATCTAAGATGTATGTGAAATATTCAGATGTATATTATAATTCATAAGCAACAGACATTTATAATTTCAAATGTTTATATTAGAAAATAAGAAATATTTCACTCAGGTATATAATCTTTGAAAATAAAAAACTGGAAAAAAATAAACCCAAAACATGAAAGTGAAGCAAAGGTAAGACCAGAAATCAACAATTGGAAATAAAAAGACCATAAAGAAAGTTAGTGAAACCAAAGTTGGTTCTTTAATGATTAATAATATTGATGAACTTATAACCAGACTGACAAACAAAACAAAACAAAACACTGGGAGAAAGAAAACACACTAGAAATATCAGAAATGAAAGATATCACCCCAGACCTCAGATATTAAAAGGATAATAAGAAGATACTATGAGCAACTCAAACAAATATTTTGGGCAACTTAAGAGAAACATGAAAATTTAAAGTTCACAAACACATCTGAGAAGAGATAGCCTAATAGTGCTACAACTATTAAAGAAATTGAATTTGTAGTTAACTTAATTCTAAAGTAAAGTTTCCAGGAATATATACTTAAACATAAAACATCATCAATTCTACACAATCTCTTTAAGACAACAGGAGTAGAGAACATATTCCACCTTGTTTTTTGAGGACTTAAAAATAATTGTAAAATTTATATAAAATGCCAGCCCCAAAATTAAAAGTCACATTTGAAGACCATAAAGAATGATGGGGAGATGGGGTGGAACGGGTCATTGGGGAAAAAACAGGACATCTGTAATATTTTAAACAAAACAAAACCAAACAAAAAATAAAAGAATGATGGGAAATTTACACTATGGATATTAAGATTTACTTTAAAGAAACCATAATTAAGATAGAATTCTGCTAAAAATAGTTGTAGACAGATTTCTTCAGAAAACAGAAATTATTAGCAGACTCCATCACCTTTTATAAGGTGAGTATTACCTTGATACCAAAACCAAATAAAAAATTACAAAAAAAAAGAGAAAGAAATTCTAAACAAAACCCTCTATGAACATAGATTAAAACTTCAATAAAAAATAGCAAATAAAATTCAGCAATAACATTGTAAGTATAATATATCACGAGAAGGTGACATTTATCCTAGGAATTCAAGATTGGTTTAAGCCCGGCCAGTGTGGCTCAGAGGTTGAGCATCGACCTATGATCCAGGCAATCTCAGCTCAAATCCCAGTCAGGACACATGTCTGGCTTGTGGGCTTGATCCCTAGTAGGGGGAAGAGGGAGGAGGTGCAGGAGGCAGCCGATCAATGATTCTCTTTCATCACTGATGTGTGTATCTCTCCCTCTCCTTTTCTCTCTCTGAAATCATAAAAACACATTAAAAAAAGAGATTGGTTTAATATTTTAAATGGATCCATTTTATTCTCCATAATAATAGAAAAAGAGAGAATCTGTATTTTCTTCTGAACAGTTTCACACACAAAAAAATCTTTGACAAAATTCAACACCTGTTTATGCTAAAGATCTCTCAGTAAAGTGAAAGTAGAGGAAACTTCCTCAATGCGATAAAGGACATCTACTCATAAAACAAACAAACAAAACTTCTGCTAATATCAAATATAAAGAGAAAAGCTTGAAAGCTTTTCCCTATAATGAACCATGCAAGGATGACTACTTCATAACTCTTATTCAACAGTGTGTTGGAGTTCCTAGCTCATAAAGTGAGAAAAAAATGGTGACATTGTGATTACAAATAAAGAAGTTAAATTGTTTTCCCTGTAGATGGCATAACTGGGTAGATAAAGAATCCTAAGTAATCTACAAAATAACTACTTGAATAACTGAGTTTAGCAAAGTCACAAGATAGAGAATCAATACATATACATGAAATTGTATTCATGTATACCAACAATGAGCATTTGGAACTTGAAATTTTTTAAACTATCATTTACGGCATTATTTTAAAGTGAAATACTTGGGGATAAATTGAACAAATTAGAATAGCAATGCAATGGAAATTACAAAAAAGTAATATTGAGATAAGGATAAGCATATAACTCATTGGAAAAGAACAGTGTGTACTGGAATAGAGTAACATAAGACAAGTTGAGGGGAAACAGCCTTATCCTAAATGGTGCTGCTACCATAAAATATACTTGGAACTGCCATTTGACCCAGTGATCCCACTTCTAGGAATATATCCTAAGAAACCCAAAACACCAATTAGAACTTATGTACCCCTATGTCCATAGCAGTGCAATTTACAACAGCTAAGATCTGGAAACAGCCCAAGTGCCCATCAGTAGATGAATGGATAAAAAAGCCGTGGTACTTTTATACCATGGAATACTATGCAGCTGTTAAAAAGAAGGACCTCTTATCCTTTGGGACAGCATGGATGGAACTAGAAAAGATTATGCTAAGTGAAATAAGGCAGTCAGAGATAGACAAGTACCACATGATCTCACTCAGATGTGTAATCTAATGAACAAAATAAACTGATGAACAAGAGATCCAGAGACATAGAACTATAGAGCAGTCAGATGAATTTCAGAGGGAAGGTTGGGATGGGGAGTGGGGAGGGGGGGAGTAATCGAGAACTTAGACACATATATACATGACCTATGGACACAGATAATAATGTGGAGAAGACCTGGGGTGGGGGTGAGGGGGTTGGAGAAGTGGATGCCAGGTGGAGGGGATTAATGAGGGAAAAAAGGAGACATCTGTAATACTTTCAACAATAATAAAAAAATCGATAATAAATCAATAAATTAAAAGAAATTTAATGAATAAAATGACACCACAAAAAATAAACTTGAAATAGATCACAGACCTAATAAAAAACTCTATGCTTTTTGAAAGATAGTGTTAAAAAGTGAAAAGTCATGCACTAGAAAGTCATACATACTAAAAATCATGCATCTGACAAAGATCTTGTACTTCACATATATGTATGCAATATACATTTTAGTAAATACATATCATATATTTAATGCAATACAAAGATAAATATATCTGTATGTATTTATATATACACACACAATTTACTCATAAAAGAGAGACAGCCCAATAAAAATGGTCAAAGATTTGAACATATACATCACAAAGGAAGATGCACGAATGGCAAATGTGCACAAGAAGAGATGCTCAAACATCATTAGTTGTTAAGGAAATGAAAACTAAAATGACAATAAGATATTACTAAACATGCATTAGGATAGTCAAAATTAAATGTATTAACAAGAGCAAGTGTGGGATAACATCAGGCAATTAAGATTTTTATATATTGCTACTAGAAATATAAATTAATAAAACCACTTGGGGGTGCAGTACTTATATGACATAGTAAATCCATTCTGAAGTATTTACCCCAAAGGAAAAAAAAGCATATGTCTACAGGAAGACTTTATAATTGCAACTTTACTCATAATAACCCAAGTGGAATGAAATACAAATAAACATAGGTGAATAAATAAACACATTGTGATATATTTATACAGGGAATGCTATATAGCAATAAAAAGAATAAAGAATTCATATGTGACACATGGATAAATCATAACGTAGTATGCCAAGGGAAAATATATACAAAGCAAAGCGAAAGTACTATAAAATTTAATTTATATGCAGTTCTAGAAAAGACAACCAATCTATTATGAGGGATTAATTAAGGAGCACAAACACTTTTTTATATATTTTGATTTCATTGTGGTTTTAAGGATGTATATATACATTTGTCAAAACCCATTGGGATGCTACACTTAACACACACGCACTTTGTTGTATGTAAGTTGTATTTTAATAAAATTGATTTATACAAGATGTCATGGAGTGGGAGAAGATATTTGCCACAACTGTTAAGGACTGCAATCCACATTTATAAATACTACTACAAATCAATAAGAAAACAAAACCCAACCTAATAACAATTAGATGCATTTCTTCACAAAAGAATATATCTAAAGCCCAGTGAGCATATTAAAAATGTGATGTTTTAGTACTTAGGGAAAAAGGAATTAAGTTCACAACTAATACACAATCTTCAGAATAACTAACATTAAATAGGTGAACCATACCATCTTTTTTGAGAACATGGGGTAAATAGAACACTAACATATTGAAGATTAGTGTGTACATTCCTATAAACACTATAAAAACTTTTTGAATATATTTATTAAGTGGAATGTCCAGATATCTATAAAAAAAGAAATTTCAATTCTAGGTGTTTACCCAATAGAAATGCGTATGTATGTATACTAAATATATGCATGTTTAAGAGAGTTTATAAGAGTATTATTCTCAATAATCTCAAGCCAT